GAACTAATCACTGTTCGGGATGAAACATTTTGGTAGCAGAAATGTACACAGAACAAGAATAAAATAAAATCATCTGAAAGAATAGTTTTAAGAAAAAGTACTGAAACTTTTTAAAACTGGTAACAGAAGTGTTGCAGATCACCAGTTTCGTGATAATTTGTTTGAAGCACCATGATTAAAGTACTTTTGATGAATTCTAGTATTTAAAATATTTGCTGTATCTGCATTTTTAGCAAGGTAACATTTAAAGTGAACTAAGATGCTTATTTACAGAGGGTTGCTGCTGTGGAGTTTGTGTAGTTGCGTCGTATAATCTAGTGTTAAGTATTTAAAGAGATGTTTCAGGGTGGTACTGTTATTGTTTTGACTTTGGCCAGTGCCAGAATTAGCAACCAAGCAAAATGAATACTTTATCATGTTGATGTAATAGGCTAGTTGATCACCTATTAACTTTTCTGGAGGAAAAAGTCAGTTGAATGGCTGTTCCAGTTGGTTTACCTACTTTGTGACTTCAGAATAGAATTCACAGGAATTGTTAGAAATCATGGGATGAGAACTAGAGCTAGAGTTGGTATAATTTTAAAAACCAGTTTAGCAGATACAGACTTCTTTTTGCTTCAGGGCTTTGCAGGTGACAGACAGGTACACAATATATCGGCCTGGTATCTGTCTGAGCACTGGAATGTGTGAAAGAAGGTGCAACCACTGGCTGATGAATCTTAGCCAGTCTTCCTTACAGAGGGGTGCGAGGGATGCCAGAGCCTTCTGTAAGCACCGGAGATGTCACTGTATCTAGGCAACACGAATGAGACTGAGCCTCCCTGAGGCCAGCTTGCTGAGGTGAAAATTTTCCATTGTTTGGTTCATAAAGAGGATGCACTGGGGAAGAATTTTTCCCATAAGTGAAGTTATTTTACCTAGTGGGATAATCACCTTAAACAAACTGTACACACTTATATAGTGGAAAGTAAGTAGATGATTACTCTCATATGATTACATTTTATATGATTACATTTTAAAGCATGTTTTTGTTATTTAAATAAATTATAGTTTGGCCTGTTTGCATACGAAGTAATGAAAGTAACAAGTAGTACTAGCGTTTCATAGTATATTCTGGTAGCAAGAAAGGATTCTTTTCCCAAAAAATTGAATTTAGAATTTACCTCAAAATTTGAAGGAAGAGTCTTCTAAGATGATGGATAGTTGGTTTGGGTCTGTTAGCCATCCGTCCATCACCAGCTTCTGTAGTTACCAACTCCTAGCCAACCTTGTTTCATTTACACTCTGCCTTGCTTCCCTATCTTAAAAAAAAAAAAATTGCTGAAGTTTTAGGAAACCTATCCAAAAAAATGTATTTTATCTATAAGTATTTCACTGTGTATCTCTTAGAAACAAGGAGCTACCCACTTTATCTACAACACTATTATTCTGTCTAAAAAACAATGATAATTCCTTAATATTTTTTCAAATATTCAGTCATGGTCAAATGTCCTCAGTTGTCCCACTATTTTTTTTATTGAGACCTTCTGACTCTAGTGGCCAGGTTTGAAGGGGTCACACCTGTATATCTTTTTGATGAAAAAATTGTGAAGGAACTGCCAAGGCTCATTCAAAAATGAACCCTAAACTGTGAATTCTGAGGACTGTCACGGACCTCAAGGACAACACAGTGCAAGACCCTCCTCCTCCCCCTGTGTCATGTGGTCCAGATCTTCTGTGTGGAATGGAGAGGAGATTCTTCCCCTTAGCCTCCAGGAGGATGTAGATGTTCTGCTCCTTGTCTCTTTACAGACCTCATTCTCTCACACTGACATTGCACCCTTGCTTACAGGCTGTTCACCATTATGTGGGCCTTGATCCAGTGCTCCTCCTTCTTTACCCTTGGGGTTCTTCTGAATTCCCTTTGTAGGTAATTCCCAGATCTGTTTTCAGGTTAGGTTCACTCAAGCTTCAATCCCAGTACTTCTCTGTCTTCTGAACATTTCTTCTTGATTCCTTGACCATCCATTATTCTTAAGTGTTTGCAGCTCAGCTCTGTCTTCTCAGCTGTTTCTGACTTCATGAACACTACATCCTTGTTTTGACTTGTTGTGAAGGCTCAATATTTGACTCATCCCTCTAATTTGATTCCCTGTATCAGGGGTTCAGAAAATATTGTCCATGGTTGCCTGCTCCACAGATTGTATGCAGAGTTCAGTGGTGGTGTGCATGTTTCAGGAGAGAGGCCCACAGTTGTCTCAGATTCTCTAGGGGTCACTCGCCGCATTGAGAGTTAAGGACAGTGTGCTAGACCTAAGCAACCTACCAGGTCCTGTTTCTCTACCCTCCCACCCCACTCCTTCCTTAATTCTCTTGTGTGAGCTGGGCAGGGCAGCAGGCTCTGTGGGTACAGTGGAGAAGACAGGAGACCCTGTGCCCTGCCAGGGGTGCCATTGAGTCAGGGGAGGTGACATTAAGGAGGTCATTCTAGGTGGGACAGGCATCTGGAGACAACAGTCTTATGTCTTAGTGGCCCCAGAATATAAGGGCTGTTAGGACTCTTCCCCTGCCACATCTCCTTCCCCTTCCCTGGGGATGAAAGAGGAGAGACCTGTGAGAGAAGGAAGCCCAGGAGGGGAGATGATGGAGAGGTCAGTTTGGTTGTGGTCCTGATGGCCTCCTAGGGGTTGTACCTCTGTATGGGGTGGGGTGGGGTGGGGGGAATTCCTGCTGTCATCTCCTTCCTCCAGAAAACTCCTAGGCTCAGGACTGTGAGATCTGTGTTGCCTCCTCTTTCATCTTTGGTTTCAACATCTTCAGATGACCAAATACTAAATTTATGGGCTTAAAGAGTTGCCTGAAACATTACTATGGTATGACATGTAACAGAGAAGCTTGAGAGAGCTTTCTAAGGCACTCACAGTTTTTCTTTAAAAGTTTAAAGATTTTTCTTCTCTTGAACCCCCTTTTTCATGTATGCTTCTAATATTTATAGGAGTTATATCTGTTTATTTGCTCCTTAAGTAAGAATGTGGACAGAGAAGTCTCCTAGTAAATGCTGGTCCCTATTGCCACTGTCCCTCCACCCATGTCATTGTAGTAGTGACCTGCTAGTCCTCTGTGAAGCTTTCCCTATCCCTCTGCCAGGTTAATTTTCCTAACGTAAAGTGTTACCACCCTGCTTCAGAATCCATGGTGGCTTGAATACATTATAGGTCAGGTCAGAGTGAAACAATGGGTGCAGTCGCTTAAATCTGCTCTGTCCCAGCAGTTCTACTTCTGGGAGTTTTCTTACAGAAGTACTTCACAAGTATACAAAGCCAGATGCAAGGATGCTCATTTCATTATTATTTAATAAAAAAGTTAGAAATAATGTCAGTAGGGAAGTCAATAAATACATTGTGATTGTGTGTGACTATTATGCAGCCTTGGAAAGGAATCATAGAGATGTGGAAAGATGTGTAAGGCATATAGCTTAGTTGGAGGGGAAATGGCAAAGGAGAAATATTAAATGATTCTGTTCATATGAAGTACTCAAGTACTCAAATTTGTAGAGACAGAAAGTTGAATGGTAGGTACCAGGGTCTGGGGATTAGGGAGGGTGAGGAGTTATTGTTTAATAGGTACAGAGTTTCAGCGTGAGATGATGAAAAAATTCTGGACATAGATAGTGATAATTATTGCACATTGTGAATGTACTTAATGCCATAGAAGTGTATACCTCAAAATAATTAAAATGGTAAATTTTATATTGTGTATATTTTATCACTTTTTAAAAAGTTAGGTGAGAAAAAGAAAGCTGATTTTACTTGGGAGAAAAAGGCAAAATGACACATATAGCCTTATCCTATTTGTGTAAAGAACAGAAAGATGTATTGAAGAAAATCTACAGGATGAAGAGACCCCAAACCAATAATGGTGCTCATTTTAACATACTTGTAACCAGTTTAAAAATCTGTTATTTAAGAGCTAAGCAGGATGTCTGTTGGCTCTTCATTTCTCTACCTGTTGTGGAAGCCTGCTTTCTTCACGCTTCTTACACAAGTGCCAGCTTAATTGCCGCCCTCATCCCCTTGCACTGTCAGGTCTACTCTCTGACCTCCATCTCCCAGTGCCCTTTTTGTAGGAACTAGGGATAGTGGACAGAGGGTAGCTCATGTTTCAGGGGTGCATGCAGGCAGTAGACTAGATGTTTAACCTTGTCCCACCTCCTGGCACCTCCATAAAACTGTAGCATTCCTAGAGTTCACAGATTAAGACAGGCACCAAGAGTAGGTAATGCACCATTTATACCCAAATATAAGGCAGGCCCCAATTTGTCAGGGAATAGATTTTAAAAGAATTTTTTGGTACAACTCAAGTGTATGAACAGACTTACAGAGATAGATAAAGGTTGTATTTCTTAGAATATTTATTTCAAATTGCATGTACGTATTTAGTTATTATCTAAAATAATGTATTGCTTTAGAAGTTATGCTTTTTACCTACATATTTCATGAATTAGTTCTGCTCCAACTTGCTTGGGGCATCTTTGCCACTCCCATAGCCATATTTGGAGGGGTTCTCCTCTTGAATACTCATCCTCACTTCTCAGTGTTGGAGACATTTTCACTGGAACCTTTACCCCAAGCTGGTTGTGACCTCTGCAGTGAGACCCTT